GTTTTATCAATTATTTTGATAGGGTATATTGCATTGATTTAATTTGAATATCAACAGAGGAGTCCTAGGGTAATCTTTCTTGACCATGATGTGTAATCTCCATATATACCAATTGAATTAATATCCTAGTATTTAGTTGAGAAGTTTTGAAGACACTCTTAAAGAAGATTGGTATTTAGTTTTCTTGTGTTGTGTTTGTCTATTTTTGTCACAATGGGGTTACTACCACCCTCATGAGTAGTTTCTGTCCCTTTATTTTATGAAAAAATTTGAAGTATTGGTGTTAATTCCTTAATATTTGGTAGAATTTGTATGAGAAGTTATCTTGTTCTTGGACTTTGAAAAGTTTTTACTACTAACAAGAATTCATTACGGGTCTATTCTCACTTTCTATTTCTTCTTTAGTCAATTTTAGCAGTGTGTGTTTCTAGGAATTTTCTTTTCATTAATCTTGATTTTATAACTAGTTTCCTTGAAACATAAGAGGATTCTCTTATAATCTATCTGTTTTGTAGGTTACAATACCCCTCTATTATTCCACATTTTAGTAGTTTGAATCTTTTTTTTCCCTGGGTAATTTGTCAGTTTTCTTAATTATGGCAGTAAGCTAACCTTTGCTTCAGTTGATTTGCACTTCTGAAGTTTTTAATTTTCTAATTCGTTGAGTCCATCCACTCTGATGTTCTTTTGCCATTGGTGCTTAGAATGTTATCACAATTCACTGTTTTCTTTTTTCCCTTTATTTGAGACTGGTTCAATATAACCCATCTAGGTTTTTTTTTCCCACTCTGCTTTTATACCATTTTAATTACATGCAAGTATTAAGGTCAATTCTAGGCTGAGGAACAAGCAATACAATAGATTCAAGTAGTCAAGGAACAAGCAAGACAATAAACACGAATAGTCAAAGAACAAGCAAGGCAATAAACAAAGTCTTGTGATCACTCCCGTGATCACTGTTTCTAAGGGCTTATCAGGATGACCAAAATATCTGAGCCTACTTCCCTGTCCTAGCCCAAAGTCATTTTCATACCTGAAGCCCACTTCTTTGTTCTAGCCTAAAATTTAGATTCCTCCCTGAAATTACTTCTTTGTTCTAGCCTAATGTCAGATTCCTGCCCGAAGCCCATTAATCTCTTAAGTTTGATCGTGTATTTCTTGATAGAAAGCTTTCTTCTTGCCCTGTTCTTGGTGATTTATCACAGCAGTAGAAAACTAAGACATTTCATTCAAACTGAACATATTGTTTGGAGTTGTGGTTTCTAATAAGCTTTAACTCCAAGTTGTAGTCAACTTAACCTTTATCAGTGTTATTGTTCTGTAATCACAATTTTGTACATTTTTAAATTACAAAGATAGAGGGACAATATGGATCAAAGTTATTACCTGAGCAAGATTCTGAGCAATTCTAAATCATGCCAGACCACAATCTGAAGGAAGCTTGAAGGAAGCTAAGAAAATATTTCCTCCTAAGTCACAATATATATGGGAAATGGGAATTAGTAAGCAGTAGTACTTAACAGAACACTGTCTCTATTGTAGTACTTTAAAACCTATCCCATGGGTTTTTACAACTCAAAATTTATAAACTAAAGTGGCATTTAACTATACACCTCACCAAATCATATGAAAAAACTGCTCAATAGTTTTAAAAGACATATGTTTAATTTATTCTTGTTATTTGAATATGCTTTTTAACAATCCTGAAGACTGAAAGCTTAAACGTAATCCAGTGAATTTATCAATGTTTTTACCCTTTGGTCTATATAAAAGTGAAATATTGAATATTGATTGCTGCTGGGCCCGACGGAGCATGTCTTTAATCCCCATGCTCAGGACACAGAAGCAGGTGGATCTCTGTGAGACCAACTCAGTCTACATAGCGAGTTCTAGGACAGCCAGAACTAGTAGAGATTCCCTGTCTCAAAAATGTTAGTAACACATGTCGATAAAGAGAGGAATTAAGTCTGTTCTTTTTAAAAGAGTTCAAGCTGTTATATTTCTTAAAGAAAACATCTCTAGTTAACATTTTACTTAACTATTGAGGAAACAGTTTAAGATTATTGTAATGGATGAATAAAGAAAATGTACTTATTTGTAAAATGCAGTTTTTTTATTGTTTGTTTGTTGTTTTGAAAGACAGAGGCTCATATAACACAGATGAGTTTAACTTGCTATGTGATGCTGGCCGTCAAACACAGGATGTTGTGCATGCTAAGCGAGCACTCTACCAACTGAACTATACCTGCAATCCACACATTGTAATCTTACTAATCCATTAAGAAGAATGAAACTAAACTGTTTGCAGGAAAATGAACGGAACACAATGACAATAGAAGATCATTTTCACGTCTAGGTGATGTGAAACTACAGGGGGAGGCTGACAATTAGGGCTGAGTATGAACAAGGTACACTGTCTACATGTATGCAAACATCACAGCAAACCCACCACATTGTATAGTTAGCATATGTCCTAAGAAAACCAAAGAAGAATCTATTACAGATAAATTTTGAAAATGTTTGGCATTCTGCATTGCTTGTCAAATACACTACATTAGATTAGATTTTAAAACTATTTCAGGTATCACCAGCAGAGTGATATTTCCTAGTTCCTGCTGAGTGACAGAAAATATACGCTAAGATTGCATTAACAAGACAAGAGGCAGTTGAAGCATTAACTGATTATGTGAAAATAAGAGCACATAGAAATAAAATGTAATCTCAAGGAAATATTACTAATTACCAGAAATATACCGACATCCAAGCAACTGCTACTTACCCTTATCTTAATGACGCCTAAGAATTTTCTGTAATTTTAACTATTCAACATGTAATTGTCTGGAATCAGACTGTTGGGAATGCTAGGCTTCAGGAACTTAAAATCTGTTGTCCCAGATTCCCCCATCAGACACACCTTATATTGGTAGCTCTGAGATAGTGTCCCCATACCGCTGACGTTCTCCAAGTGGCCAGGAAAGTGTCCCTCAGGCACAGAGCAGCCTCCCAGAGAGGCTGCCCTGGCCCTCCTGCACAGTCTGACCCCAACAAACAGCAGCACAGAAAAGAGGAAGAGAGATGACACAGATGCCAAGACGATGACAAGATACAGCGTGAGATTATCTTCGTCGCGTGTAGGATCCAGCGCCACCTCTGGCAGAGGCAGGTAGGGCTGAGAGAAGCCATCCACCAGCAGCACGTGCAGTGTGACACTGGCAGAGCGCGGAGGATCGCCATTGTCCTTTACCAGTAACAACAGCCTATGCTTGGGTACGTCACGCTCGCTCAGCAGCCTGGTGGTGCGCACCTCGCCATTGTGAGCCCACACGCTGAACAGCCCGGGCTCCGTGGCCTTGAGCAGCTGGAAAGACAGCCAGGCATTCTGGCCAGAGTCGCTATCCACAGCCACCACCTTGGTGACCAGGTATCCAGGCTCCGCAGCCCTGGGCACCAGCTCAGTGCAGGGTGCAGAGGTGTTCTGCATTGGGTAGAGCACGAAGGGTGCATTGTCATTGTCATCCAGCACCACCACCCGCACCAGCACCTGGCTGCTGAGCGCGGGCGAGCCTTGGTCTGTGGCACCCACGCGAAACTCGAAGGCCTGCAGGACCTCGTAGTCCAATGCCCTGAGCACAAACAGCTGCCCATTATCAGCATTGATGGAGATGAGCGAGGCAAGGGCAAGTCGCGGGTCTTGGGAGGGCAGGAGCAAGTAGGTGATGTGGGCATTGGAGCCTGAGTCTGAGTCTGTGGCACTGATGGTGCCTATGTGCAGGGCGGGGCTGTTGTTCTCATGGACCAACAAGGTGTAGGATGTTTGGGTGAAGGTGGGAGCATTATCGTTGATGTCAGAGACCTGCACTGTTATGGTGTGCCGGGTTGTGAGCCTAGGTGTGCCCATGTCTGAGACAGTGATAGTGATGTTGTAGTCAGCTATACTTTCTCTGTCCAGTGGCCTCTCTGTCGCTAAAGTATAATAGTTCTCAAATGTGGACTTTAAAAGAAATGGAAGTTCATTCTGAATAGAGCACACCATCCTTCCATTGTCCCCAGAATCTGGATCAAAAATACCAAAAACAGCAACTACAGTCTCCGGGGAGTTTTCAGGGATCGAACTTGAGAGTGTGGAGATGGTCAGCTCTGGGGCGTTATCATTCACATCCAACACCTGTAAAGCCACAGTGCATTTTCCTGAAAGGCCCCCTCCATCCGTGCCTGCGATTTCCATACTATAGTATGGAGTTACCTCAAAATCCAACTTTTCGCTTAGACGTATTTCTCCTGTGACTTTGTCTATTACAAATGGTTGAGAATTTCCATCACCTTGAAACAGAGAGTAGGCTATATTTCCATATATTCCAGCATCTAAATCCCTGGCAGAGACAGTGACAACTAAAGCATCAAGGGGGCTGTTCTCAGGAACCTGCACCTCATAGAGAGATTGTACAAACTCAGGAGCATTATCATTGATGTCCATGACTTCAATTCGAACCGTGCTAGTCCCAGATCTGTGTGGAGCACCTCCATCCAGAGCAGTTAGGATTAAAGTGAGCTCAGGCTGCTCCTCCCTGTCCAGGGCTCTGTCCAGCACCAGCTCTGGGTATTTCCTGCCATCTGAGCGACTGTGAGTAACGACGTGGAAATGGAGGTTTGGACTGACTGTGTAGTTCTGAACAGCGTTGCTCCCTATGTCAGGGTCCTGAGCTGCCTTCAGAGGAAACATGGTCCCTGGCTGGGCACTCTCAGGGATTGTTAGGAGCATTTCCATGTCAGGGAACTCTGGAGAATGGTCGTTTATATCTGTGAGCTGCAGGTCGGTTTGGAAGAACTGCACAGGGTTTTTCAGTATGATTTGGAAGTGCAGCACACAGGGTTCTGTCACTCCGCACAGCACCTCACGGTCTAGTTTTTCCTTCAAGAACAGATTTCCTTTCTCTGCATCCAGCTGCAAGAGCTCTTTGTTTCCTCTGTGGTGGATCCTTGCCCCTCTAGAGGCCAGTTCTCCTACCCTGAGCCCCAGATCTTTTGCCAGGTTTGCCACCAAGTAGCCACTCTCTGTTTCTTCTGGCATGGAATAGCTAATTGCCTCAGAACTAGACACCCACAAAAGCAGCAACACAGTAAGAAAAACAACTTGCCTTTGCTGTGATGTTCTTGCTAGCGCTGTCTCCATTGTTCACCCTGGATCCAGAAAGTTCAGTGTCTTTAAAGTGTTAGAATCCACACACGTGTTTTAATGAAATAGCAGAACTAAATTTTACTCGTTGGCTTCCTGTTGGAGCTATGCGTTCTCTGGTGATTGCTTTCTTAGATCCAAAGTGAACGCTACTGTCTTTTAGGGAGTGGTGTAAGTTCTGATTCTCAGTAATGGCTTCCAGGGCAGCTGCAGAGCCCATTATTCGTACGCTTAGCCTGCAGCGCCACCAAGCGTCCTCATTCACTATTGCATGTACCTTTTTCCTTTGTGTTCCTTTTTCATTCCCTTGTTAAAATCCATTTATTTCACTTTTTATTTGTTTTAACAGTTGGTATTCAAAGTGTTAGAGACCTGCCTGAAAAAATACTAAAGCTTCTCATTTGGGGGCTCCACTTCCAAAGAACATACAAATGCTTCAAAGTTATTGTGACTGTTAAATTGGACTACTACCTCTCCTGACTTTTCAAAAATTATAATACCAGTTTTGTTACTTTTAAGTATAAATTTATTCTGTAACATTTGTGGATCTAACTGATAAATTCATTCATCTTTGCCAACAACCATAGGAACAGGTAGATGCTAATGGCCTAGCCACTTACAACAAAATATGAACTTCACGAAATGTTATGTGAATTACAACAAAAGCATAGATGTTCTCATCTGCTTTTTACAGGAAAGAGGGCAAAATGAAGCTGTTTTTTGAAGTTGTTTCCTCAGTGGAAATGAAAAAGGACTTTAAAGCATTCTGAAATAGTGAGAGTTCTTGGTTAGCAATACGTACACTGACCAGAGGTAATGAACTGTCCTGAGATTGTTCTCTGCCTTCATTATCTTGGTGAGATAATTCCAAGGCTTATATTTCTTTCAAAAGATTTGTTTGTTTTTGTTTGTTTGAGACAGTTTTCTCTGTAGCCCCTGGAACTCACTATGTAGACCAGGGTGACCTCAAACTCAAAAGAATAAAAATCTACCAGTCTTTGATACTGAGTTCTGGAGATTAAAGACATATATCACACACCCACCCAGAAGATCTCTTATGATGCTAGAACTGCAATTTTTCATGAATCAGATTGCTGAGAGAGGAATATCAATGCAACTAGGACAACCATTGATCTCTATAGCTCTGACTGCTGGGAGAGGGGAGAGTCAAGCTCTGGTTGAGCAAAGTACCTTGTTACCAGGATCACATCTGGGAAATCCATGTTCCCATCTTCTTGTTCTATGTGCACTGATACAAGTACAGTGTTAGCTTCTCGTGGGTTCATCTGTCTCATTATGTTTGCTTTTGATATTCTTCCAGTTTTCTTTCTAAAATTCATTCTGATCCCTTTTTGTGAATTTTACCTATTTTCTTTTGAATCCATTCCTCTGTAAAAGCCGTGATGCTTGTATGGCGTCTCCTTACTCTGAGGCACATTTTGATCTTCTCCATGTTTTAGTTTATTGCAGTATTTCAGCAGCTGATTTGAGGTGCGAAGCATCACTTTGGGCACGGCACATGTGTACATGTTCCTGCTGCCTTTGAACTAGCCGCTGCTTGTTTTCCTGAAGAGATAATCCTTACCAGTTTAGCTTTTCCTTTAAATCAGTCAGAAAGTGAGTTTTACACAGGTTGGTGCAGCAGCTTCCTTTATGGACAGAACTAGGGCTTCTTTTCTAGATGCATATGGAAGAGACTTTCAGGAATGTTGACCTTACAAACGGGACGAGTCACTGTAGTGTCCAGTATAAGGATAGATATAAAAGGAGACACAGGATGGTTTCCATCTAAAGGAACCAGAAGCCATCTTTCCTACAGAACATGTCTCTTTAGCCTCTGCAGAAGTGCTTGGCTCTATTTGGGGGTTGAATTTCCTGTGATTTTATTTTACCAACAACTCTGATGAAGACCCCTGACAAGAAATGTGTCCATTTAACCTGTTCCTTGATTGACAGGAAGAATGTTTGATAACTTCAGCAGGATGTAAAGGTGATGACTCTAAAACTGCCCGAGGAGAATCTGTGCAACATACATGCTTCTCACTGGTCTACAAAGTGGCCATTTCTCAAGTCTGGTTCTGTGATTGCCGTGCAACAGGTCGTTGCCTTTCTATCTAATGAATTACACACACAAAAAAACCACTTCTTTTGGTGCTGATTAAAACTGCTTAATTCTCTGTTGGAAAACATTCTTGAAGAGTGTGCGCACTGGTAATATAACTGTACTTCTAAAATAACTTACAAGACTTTAAAGGCTTTGTCTTTAGCTTCATAATTTATGCTTAAAACAGCTGTCCATTTTGTAGAATCTCTTTTAAAATAATTTTTATCACATTCATGTGGTTGCTTTAAGATATTTTTCCCTATTTGACTTGGTATTTAACAACCTTCCTGTGACACACCTCCTTGCTCTGTCCTTTATTTGTTCTGTCTGTTTCTCACTAATCTCTAATGGTACAGGACTTTTTACCAGTTTAGTAGTTGTTGTTCATTGTCCTTTTTAAAATTCTCTCATCCCTTCTAGGATTACAGTTGTGTGATTACAACTTGTTGTATTACAAGTTATACGATCACAATCCTACAGTGGTAGGATTACAGTTAGAGGACTTCTTTATATCCCAAATGTTATCAATATTCTTTTCTATATTTTAATCATGTTTTATTTCTGTTTGGATGTTTCTCCTGGAATCATCTTGCATCCACTTTCCCTATGTTTTTATAGCTATTCCATTAAACAACTTAGTTCTTTGTCATTTTTTTTCAGCTGCAAAATCTACAGTTTGAGATTTTGACTTGATGATAAAATTTCCTTTTATCTATTTTATATACTTTCTTATTTTAACATAATAGCTATACATTAAAAACTATTTGGCATTTTAATTTCTAATATCTGGATCTTTTTGGCCATATGTTTTTATTTTTGTTTTGGATTTTGAATTTTTGTTTTGTGGACATGTGCCTTAAATTTTCTATGGAATTTTGTAAAATTATATAAAAGCTATTGTGGATCGTGATGCTATTGTCTTTCTCTAAGAGAAAAAGATAGCTTCATAATATTTTAAAATCAATATTAGTTCATAAAGGTTTTAAATGGCTCATTTTTTTCTGTCAAAAATGTTCGAGGCATTTTATAGTCAGAACAATATAAGTCTACTTATAAATTACATGACAGCTTCACTGGGCTTGCTGGACCTGACAAACAATTATTATTCAGACAAGTGAGATATTGTTCTTGAGTATTCATGCTCAAAATAATATATACTTCATACAAATAAAACTTTCCTAATCTAAAAACTAAGGTAATTTATAATAGCTGAAGGCTGCATTAGGCAACAAAAGGGAAATTAAACACCAAAAATTATTTTAATGATCAAAAAACTTACCATCACTATCAAGCACTATAAAGTAAAAACCTGAGATTAGCCAATAATCAGTATCAAACATAAGAGAAATTCAGAAGAAATTTCCTTTTTTGAAAGGAAGAGGAAACAAAGAGATTCCAAGAAAATACAGTCTGTTCACTATACTTAGACTTCCACCCATGTGGTAAAGGAAGGAAGTAGAAACAGAAAGTTGATACCCTCAAGAGTCCTCAACTAACTCACAGAAAGTTGGTTCATAATTCTGTTTCTAATATGATGTTTTATAAAGGATTGTGTCAAACCAGTGGTTTAACAGACAGGCTTCACAAAAAAGATCAAGTATATCATATTGTCTTCTAAACTTTTATTGTATAATAATTATTTGAGGAGTTTAATATTACTACCTATGGCATGCCTTTGAACAAATGCACATAACAATCTTTTGGATACACAGTGCTCACAACAGAACAGGGCACAATGTCCATGCACTAATGCTTTAATAAAGTATGTGTTTGCATACAATTTAGGGAAAAAAAGTGTGGTAGATTTTACAGCTTTCAGATTGCTTAACCTAAAAAGGCCAAGAACTCAACGAACTCCCAACAATGTAGCCTGAAAATGCATAAAGTTATATAGTAAAGATATGTGTCGCAAATACACATAATTTTAATTTTTCTTAAGTGCATTGAAAAGTTCCATACTGTTGTAAAGACATTATTTTCATTAACTGTTATGATAATAATCACTCAGACATGCCTAAATATAGAGAAAATGAATATATAATAGACACAACTACAAAATCCTAAGAAAATTAGTATTAATAAGAACATAACAAGGTTAAAGCTATTTGGGATACCATGGGCTGAATTACTGATAGAGAAAAATTTTAGATAGTACAACTTCTTAAAAGAATAACTAGAATAAGAAGTTAACCAGAACTGACAGATGATGGGCCATTTACAATCCTTAGCTGACTATAAAGCTACTCCTACAGTGGGGACTTCCCTTAACTTCTCTCAGATTCTTCCAAAAACAGGTTTGGTATCACCGGATTCAGGAATTTGAACTCACCAGTCCTAGAATCTCCCGTCAGACACACCTCATACTGGTAGCTCTGGGACAGGGTCCCCATACCGCTGACGTCTACCAGGTGGCCAGGAAAGTGTCCCTCAGACACAGAGCAGCCACCCAGAGAAGCTGCCCTGGCCTTCCTGCACAGCCTCACTCCAACAAACAGCACCACAGACAAGAGGAAGAGAGAAGACACAGATGCCAAGGCGATGACTAAGTACAACGTGAGCAAGTCCACGTCGTTTTGCATGGAGTTGCGCGCCACCTCAGGCAAGGGCAGATAGGGCTGAGAGAAGCCATCCACCACTAGCACGTGCAGAGTGACACTGGCAGAGCGCGGAGGCTCTCCATTGTCCTTGACCAGCAGCACCAGCCTGTGCTTGGGCACATCGCGCTCGCTCAGCAGCCTGGTGGTGCGCACCTCGCCATTGTGCGCCCACAAGCTGAACAGCCCAGGCTCCGTGGCCTTGAGCAGCTGGAATGATAGCCAGGCATTCTGGCCAGAGTCACGGTCCACTGCCACCACCTTGGTAACCAGGTATCCAGGCTCCGCAGCCCTGGGAAGCAACTCAGTGTAGGGCGCAGAGGCATTCTGTAGCGGGAAGAGCACGAAGGGCGCATTGTCATTGTCATCCAGCACCACCACACGCACCAGAGCCTGGCTGCTGAGCGCGGGCGAGCCTCGGTCCGTGGCGCCCACGTGGAACTCGAAAGCCTGCAGGGTCTCATAGTCCAGAGCCCTGAGCACGAACAGCTGCCCATTGTCTGCGTTGATGGAGATGAGCAAGTCGAGAGCCAGCTGTGGATCGTGGGGCGGCAGCAGTGAGTAGGTGATGTGGGCATTGGAGCCTGAGTCTGAGTCTGTGGCGCTGATGGTGCCTATGTGCAGGGCGGGGCTGTTATTCTCGCGGATGAACATGGTGTAGGAGGTTTGGGTGAAGGCAGGGACATTGTCGTTGATGTCAGACACCTGCACTGTTATGGTGTGCTGGGTTGTGAGCCTGGGTGTGCCCATGTCTGAGACAGTGATGGTGATGTTGTATTCAGCTCTGCTCTCTCTGTCCAAAACTCCTTCAGATGCTAGAGTATAGAAGTTCTCTACAGAAGGCTTCAGGATGAAGGGGAGATCGTTCTGGATGGAACATGTCACTCTTCCGTTATCTCCAGAGTCTAAATCGGAAACACTGAATACAGCCACCACAGTCTCTCCCGAATTCTCGGGGATAACACTGTTAACTGATGACAGTGTCAGTTCTGGTGGGTTATCGTTCACATCAAGTACCTGAACTATGACTGTACATTTCCCGGAAAGGCCTCCACCGTCTGTGGCCTCTATGTCAACCTCATAAGTATTAATTGTTTCATAATCCAAACCCTTAAGTAGTTGTATATTACCAGTAGTGGTGTTTAGTTGAAAAGTTTTGAGAATTTCTTCAGAAGCATGAAAAAATGTGTATGATACTGCACCAAAATTTCCCGTATCTAAGTCAGAAGCAGAGACAGTGGTAATGACACAGCCAACAGGGCTTTTCTCTAAAATTTGAACCTCATAGAGTGACTGTGTAAACTCTGGGGCATTATCATTTATGTCTAAGACCAAAATGTGGACCTGGGTAGTTCCAGAACGAGGTGGGGATCCTCCATCCAGCGCTGTGAGAGTTAAACTGAGCTCTGGCTGCTCTTCCCTATCCAGAGCTCTGACTAGAACTAGTTCTGGATACTTCCTTCCATTGCTACGATGGCGGGTGTGAACATGAAAATGGGACTTGGGAGAGACCGTGTAGTTCTGGAGTCCGTTTCTTCCCACGTCCAAGTCCACAGCATTTCCCAAAGGAATCACTGTCCCAGGTGGGGAGCTTTCCAGGACTTTCAGCTGCATTGCGTTTTCAAAGAACTCTGGGGCATGGTCATTTACATCTACGACCTCAAGCTCATTTGTAATAAACTGCAAAGGATTATGCAGCAATATCTGAAAGTGCAGCACACAAGGCTCTGTCGAACCGCACAGTTCCTCCCTATCCAATTTCTCAACCAAGAGCAAATCTCCGGTCTGATGACTGAGCTTAAAATACTGTATGTTTCCTTTGGAGATAGCTTGAGCTCTCCTTTCAGCCAGTTCTTCTACACTGAGCCCCAGATCCTTCTCTAGATTGGCTATTACGAAGCCCCTCTCTTTTTCCTCGGCCACAGAATAGTGCCTAGACCCGGACCCAGCAAGAGACCCACCCAGAAAAACAAAGAGAATCAAGACTTGCCTTTGTTTAAGAAAGCGTTCTTCTCTGGCCTCCATTGTATTTCTGCGGTGTATTTCCAAGGGCTTGTAACCAAGAGGGGCCTTATATCTCTCTGTGAAAAGCAAAGTCTTTTGGAGACAGCCTAACAACTAATGTTTTCCGAGATTCCGATTTTCGTGCTTAAAAATCTACTCAGGTTCATACAAGCGGTGGTTTTACATCATCGAATTGCTCTGTGAGTCTCTGAGTACTGAGTGTACAACGTCTTAGTCAACAGCGCCACCATGCGTTCGTTCGCAGTTTTAAAATCTTAGAAAAGATACTGGTTCTGTTACTGGTTTTGATTTATGTGGGATTTTTTTTTAACCTTATCAAATCTCTTGACCCCACTGAAGGAGTTTCTTGTACCACACAAGTTGAACATAAACTAGACCAGTATAATGCACTAAATGGACTTATATTCCTCTAGTAAAAGTCCTAATTTACATGATTTACATTACAAATGTACACATGCTAGGATACTACCCTCATCCGTAATTACTACCTACAAGTTTTAAAAGAATTTAAGTGATAACATACTTATCTCTCCTTTTGTGGTTTTATTTATTTTACATTATTTGTAAAATGTGTGAGTTGCAGTAATAGTAGGAGAAACACTAAGAAAAGTGAAGGCAGTAAAATATGACACTGATGTCGGATGGCTGAGAATGCATAATTGCTTCCATATTTTCATGGCCATGGAATACTTAAGAATGTTTCTTCTTCTTCCACAGAAATATAATAACTATTAGCTTACCCTGTATTAACTTATTACCAGACAGCTATTTAATTTGTAGAAGTTATGCATATAATTGTTGCAAGATTAGATCTACAAATTTTATAGGTCCGCATCTAATAGGGTGTACAAATTTTAAACATGCTCAAGCAGTGTGAAATGTGTGACATAGGAAATGTGCTGTGCACCAAACTTAACGGGGAGTAGTTGTGAAAACTCTTGCCTTGAATGTGGATTGTGAAGGATCAGAAGCATAACAGGTGACACAACCACCTGAAGAGCCTGAGAGAGTAAATATAGGTAATTTAGATAATAAAGGACAGTAGTGTAGTGTCTCAAGAGCTACAGAGATCAGTAAAGTAAAACCCAGGGGAAATTATAAGCACTTGTATTTTATTCTGAGAGCACAGAGAAGCTATTGTAAGGCTGTAGGAAGGCAAAAAAGATGAAGCAATGCAGATAAGATGTGTTCAATCTAGCTCTCTACCCGAGTATCATGGGTATGGTGCACTGGCTCATCACTGAGCTTATTCCTAATATGACTGACATTAAAACAAATAGCAGCAATATTTCTATAATGCTATGTTATGCTATTTGACTTGATAGCAACAGCAAGATAGTTGGTGATCATTGAAACAGTTGATGTCACTGGAGGTCACCTAACCAGGATCCTACATGTGATGAACTGATTAACTAAAGATTTTTGATACTAAGATGGTCCTTTCTGTCACTGCCAATATCAAAACAAGATATTCAAATTCTATAAGGTTAATAGTATATCTCACCCAAATGTACATAAAATTATGCAAAAATGAATAATATGTTGGAAAACATTAAGAATTAAATTTTCTATATGAGGTGTGTCAAAAATTCAACTACAACAAGTGAAGGAAGTTGGGTGAGTAACTTTGGAAACATAGAAGCAAATTTAAATTATAAAATTAAATACCAGAAATTCTGCATTCATTAAGCCAGTGGACAATAGAGGAAACTTGAATTAATCATTAAGAGAGAAAAAGGAAAGCTATGTTGAAAAATAGTGATAATGGAATAATTTCAATAAACTAAAGCAAGATCAGATTACTCGGTGTATGTCAGAATAGTTGGTTCCAGCAAAAGTTCTGTTCATTAAGCATCTTACCATGTTTAATTATCAGTATGTCACGACTAAAACAACTCTTCAATCAATTAGTCAAAAAGTATTAGGAACTTAAAATATCCTGGTGTCTATGCTAATCATGAAATAAGTGGGAGCTACCCATAAACATAACTCAAAAACTTAAATTTCTAAACACTACTTGTATGTGTGTGATTGTGTGTGAGTGTGTATGTGTGTGTCTTTAAATCAGAGCACAGCTTTGAGGAGTTGGTTTTATACTTCCATCGTGTGTGTCTGGGGATGAAACTCAGTTTTCTGGTTTGTTGACCAACTCATTTGGCCCATCACAACCCTTTATATATAAATAAGCATTGAAAAGTCTATGGTACAAAAGAGGAAAATAGAACAAGTCTGTCCAGAAAATTAATAAAAAGGATAACGGACACTGCTTGTGGACTTATGGATACACACACATTATTCATCCAAGGACTTATGGAGACACATACATTTCTCATGGACTTATTCCCAATTGAATCTTTAATTCCCCCCCCCAAATTTTTGAGAATGGAATGCCTAGCTACATACAAATTTTCTAGGTTGGTAAAAGATAAAAGCATAGGATCTTTTGTATATTGTATATATATAGTTCACTTATATTAAAGTACCCAGTAGGTTAATTAACTAGGAATGCCAGTGCAATGCCTGTGATCCCAACACTCTGGATGTAGGAGGGACCTGTCACAAGCTCAAGACTATGATAAGATCTTGTCTCAAAAAAATCTTTAAGAAGTATTGAGTTTCAGCAGAAGAATTTTGAAAGGTTATTTGAAATAAAACATTAAAAATCACTATGCCCTTGAAAACCACTATGCATGTATTCATTAGCTACCCTTTCAATAGCAATATATGATTTTGTCTGAATTTGTTTTGCATTTATAATTTGAACACTTTATTAAACCTAGCAATTAGGATTTCCACAACCTTTAAAGGAACATAAGTTTTGTATGCTGGTACTTTAAAATACACATGTAGATAAGCATGGGAAGAGTGCTATGCTACTCACACTCATGTAAAAATTTACCATCGGCTCCCAAGATAAAAGTTACATTGTCAAGAGACTAAATAAACACAAATAGTTTTGGCTACAAAATATTACAGCTCGAGTATGAAATGAATTATTTTTAGACAGCATTTAAGAATAATCCAGAACTGGAGAAGTTAAACTTCGGTGATGATGCACTAACTTATTTTTTCAGGGCATAGTACCAGCAAAATCCAGCCCTCTGGAAGCAGAGGCAGGGGGATCTTTGTGAGTTAGAGACCAGCCTGATCTGCATAGTGAGTTCTAGGACAGCCAGGGATACAAAGTGAGGACCCCCACCCAAATTTTTTCTGAAAATACAATTTTCACTTTCACATTGTAAGTCAAATAAAATTACAAGACTAAAATTGGAATCCAATCAGCATTTATATTCCTTCTTCCACATACCTTACGATTTTTAGAAATACCAGGAACATGCAAAGGATTGGAGTAGGATCATTACTTTCAAAGAAGAGAAACCTTCAGTTGTCAAAGCAGTACAAACAGGCCTTTCAAGGTTTAGTTGAGACTAGACTTGGTATTTCCTCACCAATGTTTAACTGAATTCAAAACTATCCCTGTAACTAGGGTTTGTATCATTCTCTCTCTCTGAACTCTGAAGAAGAAAACTGGGGATAATTGGTTTTAGGAACTTGAAATCTGGGGTCCCAGTATCTCCATTCAGGCACACCTCATATTGGTAACTCTGGGATAAGGTCCCCGCGCCGCCAACATCCACCAGGTGGCCAGGAAAGTGGCCTTCAGGCATAGAGCAGCCACCCAACGAGGTGGTTCCGGCTCTCCTGCACAACCTCACCCCCACGAACAGCAGTACAGACAGGAGAAAGAGAGAAGACACGGAGGCCAAGGCGATGACCAGGTAGAGTGTTAGCATATCCTTATCCTGCGCAGAGTCGCGCGCCACCTCTGGCAGAGGCAGGTAGGGCTGAGAGAAGCCATCCACCACTAGCACCTGCAGAGTGACACTGGCAGAGCGCGGAGGATCTCCATTGTCCTTGACCAGCAGCAGTAGCCTGTGCTTGGGCACATCGCGCTCACTCAGCAGCCTGGTGATGCGCACCTCACCATTGTGAGCCCACACGCTGAACAGCCCGGGCTCCGTGGCCTTGAGCAACTGGAATGACAGCCAGGCATTCTGGCCAGAGTCACGGTCCACTGCCACCACCTTGGTGACCAGGTATCCAGGCTCCGCAGCCCTGGGCAGCAGCTCAGTGTAGGGCGCAGAGGCATTCTGCAGTGGGTAGAGCACGAAGGGTGCATTGTCATTGTCATCCAGCACCACCACACACACCAGAGCCTGACTGCTGAGCGCCGGCGAGCCTCCATCTGTAGCGCCCACATGGAACTCAAAGGCCTGCAGGGCCTCGTAGTCCAGTGCCCTGAGCGCGAACAGCTGTCCATTGTCTGCGTTGATGGAGATGAGCGAGTCGAGGGCCAGCTGCGGGTCGTGGGGCGGCAGCAGCGAGTAGGTGATGTGGGCATTGGAGCCTGAGTCTGAGTCTGTGGCACTGATGGTGCCTATGTGTAGGGCAGGGCTGTTGTTTTCTCGGACAAATATGGTGTAGGAGGTTTGGGTGAAGGCGGGGGAGTTGTCGTTGACGTCAGAAACCTGTACTGTTATGGTGTGCTGGGTTGTGAGCCTGGGTGTGCCCATGTCTGAGACAGTGATGGTGATGTTGTATTGTGACCTGGTCTCTCGATCCAGAGCTGTGTTTGTCATAAGCGTGTAAAAGTTTTCAACTGAGGGTTTTAGAATAAAAGGAAGATCTTCTTGGATGGAGCAAACCATTTTTCCATTGTCTCCAGAGTCAGGATCTGCAACACTGAACACGGCAATTACAGTTTCCGGGGCGTTTTCTGGCATGTGATCGGTAAATGTGGACATAGTCAGTTCTGGAGGGTTGTCATTCAAATCCATTACTTGAACAAACACCACACTGCTGCCAGAAAGTCCCCCACCATCTGTAGCCTGAACATATACTGGATATGTCTGGATGGATTCAAAATCCAGTGTCTTTAATAAAAGGATTTCTCCGGATGTTGCGTTCATTCGAAACGTTTTCCGAATGTCTTCAGAGGCTTGAGAAATGGCGTAAGCTATTTGTCCATGGTCCCCAATGTCTAGATCTCTAGCAGAGACAGTAGCAACCTGGGATCCAACAGGACTGTTCTCTGGTACCTGAACCTCATAGCGAAGCTTTGAAAACGCGGGGGCATTGTCATTGATGTCTAAGACTTCAATAAGGATTTGGACTGTGCCAGACCTGGGTGGATTCCCACCATCTATCGCTGTGAGTACTAATCTGATTTCAGATCGTTCCTCCCTATCCAGCACTTTGTCCAGAACCAGCTGTGGCAATACTGTGCCATCAGGACTGTCTTGTAGATTAAGATGAAAATAGACATTGGGGCTGATCGTGTAA